CTGTGCTCACATTTATTTGTGCATTAAATTACAAATAAAAAAATACATATCAGCTTGTGCCTTATATTGTGATCTCGAATTGCAGAATATATTTTAGTACATGCATTTGTGAGACGTTCTTGTGTGCTGCGTATACATGCTCAGTTTGCAGCTTTAATTGCCTTTTTGGTAATTTCATGACTTAGCTGACGACAGAACTATGCTCATTTCTTGTGCGGGTTATTTATGATGAAGTGATGTAGAGCGTGCGCCACATATTTGCGTATGTTGAAGAGTGCGCCGTGATCACAGTAAAACTGCTGATGGGACAGGAAAGTGCGTTTTACTAACATATAGTCGAGCAACATCTCATCAGACCGCAGTTCACAGTTGTTCTACTGAAGCTCATTTGGCTGCTGTAGCTTTTCCGCGCTCGTTTGACTCGCGCCTGACGCTGAGGTGAAGCTGAAGGTTCTGCATCTTAATAAATGCATTCCTTGTCAAGAAAAAAATGGACAAAAACAGCAGTTTTGAGTGGGGTGGCCAAAGGGGTCTAGTAGGGGTTCCCCCTGGTTTCGCCCCTGCACAGATGTAGATATTATAACAATCTATACTCGCGCCTCTGAGGTGAAGCTGAAGTGCGCGTCTGAAAATTCTCCCGTTTGATGTGGTCATAAAGAGATACGGTGGTTCCGCATCTTAATACATGCATTCTTGTCAAGAAAAAAAGGGACAAAAGCTGCAGTTTTGAGTGGGGTGGCCAAGCTTTCATCAGTCCCCTGGCTCCGCCCCTGTTCAGGGCGCCATTTGGAACAGGGCCAGTGACTTGCCGCCAACTGCTGGTTTCAGTTCATTTTTAAAGTATAAATGGAGTTATTTTAATCCTTTAATATTTCTATATTCAAAAACTTTATATTTAAATCATTAATCTCATAACACTGTTATTATGAATTTTAAATATATTCACCTCTTAGTCTCGTTTAACAGTCTGTAAATATTCCTTAATTTGTGTTCTTCTGTGCCAATTCCTAAAAAGAAAAGATAAATTATTGATGCTGATTTCATGTGACTGGTAACGTATTCTTCCTGATTGTATCTTATTATTTTATTTGAATTTACTGTTTAATTAAATTTTTTGATAAAAGATTATAAATATATTTTTTTACACAAAAGATGACATACATTTAATAAAGTTAGAAAAAAATGGCATTACAAAGGTAAACTTTACACTTTAAAGAGTTAAATATCACCTCAGAATGGGAAGGTTAATCTCTGTCATTGATCAGGTGTTCCTATTTTTTATGTACTTATGTACTTATTTATTTATTTATTTATTTTTAAGTAGGGGCACAAGTGCTTCTAAAAAGAAAAGTAAGCGTAGAGTCCTGAAGAATGTAACGTTACATTTTAAAAACGAATTGCTAATGTTTATGCAAAGTGTAAACTATTAAATCTGCAATACATGCAATACTGTACCACTAAATAAGAAGTGTTTTTAGCTCAGCTAATCGGGCCAATTAGAGACAATTATTCATAATTCTCAGTTTTTATTAAATAGTTCTTTCATTTCACTATTCAATCTTTTTTTTTTTCTTCTTTATTTCATTTGACTGGCAACTTATTCTTCCTGATTGTATCTTATTATTTTAATTGAATTTATTGTTTAATTACATTTTTTGATAAAAGATTATAAATATAATTTTTTTTGACACAAAAGATGACACATTTAATAAAGTTAGAAAAAAATGGCATTACAAAGGTAAACTTTACACTTTAAAGAGTTAAATATCACCTCAGAATGGGAAGGTTAATCTCTGTCATTGATCAGGTGTTCCTATTTTTTATGTACTTATGTACTTATTTATTTATTTATTTATTTTTAAGTAGGGGCACAAGTGCTTCTAAAAAGAAAAGTAAGCGTAGAGTCCTGAAGAATGTAACGTTACCTTTTAAAAACGAATTGCAAATGTTTATGCAAAGTGTAAACTATTAAATATAATCTACAAATCATGCAATACTGTACCAGTAAATAAGTGTTTTGAGGGCTTAGCTAAACTTTTTATTAAATCATTCTTTAATTTCACTAATCATTTATTTTTTTTTATTAAACACAGGGGGTCATTAATGATGCTTACATTTTAACATGTGCAAATTCACACACAACGTATATTTAATTTGGCCAAAATTGTAGGGTGCTTGTCTTGATATCCAGGAAGGTTTGGAGAAAATATGAAATAAGTTTAATGTTATAATAGATTATAAAGGGTTTTATAATTAAACACATCTGAAAGGTCATCTAATATTACCCCGCCCCCTTTCCTAGCTAGAGTCCGCCCAGTGATTTGGCCATTTCCGCCACTGTTAATACGCTATTTTACAAACGGAACACGGCGAAAAGCCTTTTTTCTCATGCATATTAGAAAACGCCAGGAACATTCATACCTCATCGCTCTCCTTCCATTGGGAGAATCCGGGTTACTTTCATTTTACTGCTCGCCGTTAAAGCAGAACAACACTTATGAATCAAATTCCGCATTCGTTTACTGAGGGGAAAAGTGGTGAAAATGAAGCTTTTCTTTAATGTACTCGCAGTGACTTTGTTTTTACTCGACCATGGTGAGATCTTTTTCGTTGCAATCTCTTTTCCGTCTATTTCTGTGGCCTTGTAGTAGGCTAGGCCTAAACGCATCTTTGGCGCTGGAGTGATGGTTGGATTGGGCGAAGGCTATTGTTGGGATAATGGTTATAGGCTGAGAACTGAGCCTGACACTCACAGAAATCGATGGTCGGTGAAACACATATGAACAATTAAAAACAACGCTATCGCAGTTCAAACGAGATCAGATCAGTTTAATTTGCGTGAAAATTGTCCTTTGAAATAGGTCACGTGACTGGGAATAAACACGTAACTTCAGTAAAAGTTGACATTTTATATCAGTGCATAAACTGATCAAATGTAGCTTGGATGTAATGTGAGTGCTTTGGTTAAAAGCTTCTGCCAAATTCATTAAATGTTGCCTACACACGTTATTTACGTGGCAGATTAAGCACTAAATTATATTTATAAAATGTAGACTTTAGTCTTTATACGGTGCAAAATAAGTATTTTATGGGTTCTAGTCATCTATGTAATATTCATTATGATTCTATGAAAATGATTCATTTAATGTTCAAATATATATAGGGAAAGGGGGTGAAATATGAATCAGGATGTGGGTTTTGTGTTGTATATAACATCATTCATGAGACTCGTGTCTGTTTGTCTGAAGAGTGAATGTGTAAATCAATGATGTTCATCTGCTGTTTGTTTGCATGCGTGACAATTATGACAGATTTCTCTGCTCACAATCTTTATGATCTGTAGACTAATATTTTCACAACACTATTGTATATATTTTTTTGTTTGTGTTTGTTTCTTCAGGTGTGTCTGGTGTTTATAGAGACAGAGTCTCAGTGTCAGTGATGGAGGGCGATTCAGTCACTCTACACACTGGGGTTCAAACAAACCAACAAGAGTACATTAAATGGTATTTCAGCGGCCTTCGCATTGCTCAAATCAGTGGAGATCTCAGTGATATCTGTACAGATGTTCAGTGTAATGTAGGTACTGAGAGATTCAGAGACAGACTGCAGCTGGACAATCAGACTGGATCTCTGGCCATCACAAACATCACAACCACACACTCTGGACTCTATAAACTAGTGGTACTCAGCAGCAGAAGCGACAGTGAAATGATGTTCGCTGTTTCCGTCACTGGTGAGTCATTTAATGAGTGTTTAAATGCAGTTTATATATGTTTAAAATACAAGATCCTCCAGCAGCTGTTGGTTTGTGTTTCAGGTGTTTCTGCTGCTGAACGAGATGAAATGAAGGAGGGAGAATCTGTCACTTTAGATCCTGGTGTAACAAAACACCCAAATGATGTGATGACGTGGTTTTTTAATGAGATTCTTGTTGCTGAAATCACTGGAGATCAGAGTAAGATCTGTACAGATGATGAGTGTGATGAGAGATTCAGAGACAGACTGCAGCTGGACAATCAGACTGGATCTCTGACCATCACAAACACCAGAAGCACAGACTCTGGACTTTATCATCTACAGATCAACAGCAGTAGCAGCAGCTTCAGTTTTAGGAGGGTCAAGAGTTTCAGTGTTTCTGACACTGGCGAGTGTAATTTAGTCATTCAGTGTATTTTCTTTTGAGGAATTTAAAAGTCATTTCAATATTTTAGATCAACCCACTAAGTGTTGGGTTGTGGACTGTTAAAAAAAAAAAGAAAGTCGATGACACTTTGACTAATGTTATTAACATGCAAAATGCATAATATCAGCCAGTATTCCTGTGAGCGCTGCTGCTTCCAGTTAAGCTCAAAGTGCAGATGCTGTTTGAGCTGCAGTAGCTAAAAACAACTGACGGCACCATTTATCAGTTAAAACAATGTCATACACCTGATGACCAAAGTATAAAGGTGTAATTATCAGTCAGAAGATATTGTTAAGTACTGGATGGATTATCATTCACTCTCTAGTAATAATGACTGCTTCTCTTTATCTGTTCCAGATTCAGGTTTGTCTTCAGCTGCTGCAGCAGGAATATGTGCGGTTGTTGTTCTGCTGGTGGCTGCAGCTGTAACTGCTGCTGTGGTTTACTGTCGCCGCAGGAGATACAGACAAGCAGCACAGAATGTAGGTATTACATACTGCTCATTTAACCAGATATACTGTATGAGAGTTACTGTGCACTAAAAAAAACATTTAAAAGAAGAGTGGTATGAATACATTTAGTATGTTATTATTATATAATTATAATTCTTTTTTTATCGTTGGCTGAAACAAAAATGTAAACTGTGAATAGTCATCTTTTTGTCCTTTATATTTAACACTATGGAAGCAGATATTCACCATTGAGGCAGTGTCAAAACAATCAAAAACACAAATAACTCCCAAATAAACTAAACAACAATTAATATAACAACATAAAGTGCAACTTTATTTACAGAGCAATCGTCTTATCAGAAAACACCAATACATCAGTTCAAGAATTCTAGATGTGATATTGAAATAACAATACTTCAAGTTTATATTAAAGAAGATGACCACCTGATGCAGTTTAAGACATTGTGTTAAACGATTAGGGAAAGAAAACCTCTCCACAAACGAACATAATTCCAAGTCTCTTGGAAACTCTTGGGGAAAAAAAACTTCCTTATACTTTCAACTGCTTTTTTCTATCAAATTTCTTTTTATGTGTAAATATTTGTATGAACATAAAAAACTCAACAACTGAGACATAAACAAAACAAATTTCACAGGCATTTGATGAACAGTAATGGAAGAGGGTCGATATCAAAGGTTTCTTGTGTGTAAATACTACAGTGCATCTCATCTTCATAGACTCAGAAAGATTTGCCAGTTCTTGCTGTGAGATGTTACTCCACTCTTCCACCTAGAAGATTTTCTCGAACACATCTGGTGGTTCATAAGCTCACACGTGGTTTGGCTCTGTAAGGATGAACAGCTGTCCTTCTGTCTTGCTGTAGCTCTGTCTTAGGTGTCTTACATTACAGACGCTGCAGTTTATTGCTCTGGTCTCACCTGCAGTCCTCATGCCTCCCTACAGCACGTCTATGGCATTTTCACACAGCTGATCAGAGACCCTGAGCATCTTTACACTGCTGTTTTTCACAGTCTATTGAAAGGTCTCTTTAGTGCCCTAAGTTATTGGAACTCATTAATTTTCCTCCACCTGTAAACTGTTAGTGTCTTAAGAACTGTTACACAAGTGCATGCAATAATTGTTTATGTTCATCAAACAAGCATGAAAAAAATTGTTTAAACTCTTTCCAGTGAAGATCTGTAAAGCTCATTTTGATTATCTTTAAAATACATTATACTGAGGAAGGTACATTTCTTTTTTTGCTGAGTTTTTGTTGTTTTTGTAACTTAAACATCAGACCTCCTTAGTAATTTTACCTTTTTTGAACGTGTTTTCTTACAGAAGGATGATGGTGATCCAAAAGAGATTCCTTTGAGTTATGGGATGTCCTTAAATCAGACTCAGGCCAAGCCTTCCAATTAAACAATGTAACATCATTTATCATTTTAATACTTTGAAAGTGACACTAAAGAGAATTAGGAAATGATGAAGAGAAGAAAATCAGCTGAAACTCTCGTCACTCACAAAGTGATCCCAAGACATTATCTGTTTCATGTCTATTGCACTATGTATACAGTTAATGCACTGATCTGGTTTGACATATCTGTCATATCTGTCATCCTCACTGATAGGACAGACTGCATTTCTGCAAATACCTCACCAAGCGGATGACGTATGAGGTCGGCACATCTGTAAATAACTCATCAAACCTATCATCATCTGTAAATAGGACACATGCACATTCACAGTTCTGTCTATGGACATTTTTCTTTTCTGTATATTTTTATTACTATTGTTATTTATAATTTATTGCCTATTCTCTTTAGTATTAGTGTTTTTATTACCTTAATTATATGTTTGTCTGCACTATGTTTGTACTTTCTGTACTGGAAGCTCCTAACACCAAGACAAATTCCTTGTGTGTGTAAACACACTTGGCAATAAAGCCCTTTCTGATTCTGATTAGTAACTCAAACCCCTTTATCTAAACCTCTCCACTTAACCGTCAGTCGCGCACATCCACCTGGAAGCTCCACCAAGACAAATTCCTTGTGTGTGTAAACACACTTGGCAATAAAGCCCTTTCTGATTCTGATTAGTAACTCAAACCCCTTTATCTAAACCTCTCCACTTAACCGTCAGTCGCGCACATCCACCATGTTTGTAGTTTTTTTTATGCTTTTTATTCGTGTTTGTAGTTCTGAACCGGGTCATTCCTCAAAGCGCAATGGATTGTGGGTATTATTAGCCATTAGAGTGTGCACGGATCCACACTTCAAAAATCGACCTGAATTAGTAGACTATACGAGGACTTTTGGCATAGTCTTTTCAACATACTATACTTTGGGACACACTTATTTTAATTTCTCACATACTATTTAGGATGGATAGTATGAACATTGGGACGCAGAGAGACTGTATAAATGCACAGGGAGATAATCAAAGAAACTCAGAACAGGTGTGACTTGAATCAGTAACCAAAGCAACAAACACAGTAATCAAACAGGCAGGAAAACTAGGAACTACCATGTGGTATGAATGTCGTAAACTGAACACGTCAAAAAACTCCTCTTCAGTATAACGGATTATTAAAATAATGTTAAGTAAATGTTTTTGTTTTTTTTGCTTAATTTGTTTATTGAACTTTTACAATAATAACAGGATAAGAATACAGGAGAATAGTGAAAAAAACATGTTAAGTGAAATTAAAAAGTACTTTCAGTGTCCTGTAGTTGGCGTTATCACTTCTTTTGTAGCAGAAATAAATGTAATTGCAACACTCATTACAAATGTAGTGGAGTAAAGAGTGCAGGTACTTTGTCAAAAATGTAGTGAAGTAGAGAGTAAAAGTTTCTAATATCTTTGATACTCAGTAAAACTACAGAGTATCCAAAAAGATACTCAAGTACAGTAATTAATTACATTTACTCAAATACTTTACACCTCTGCCTTGGACAAAGACACCGCATGCCAATTTTGAAGTCAATCAGACTAAGGGTTGCGTAGTTATAGCCATTTGTACAATTTTCCATGTTAAAGCACTGCCAAGTGGCCAGTCGCTGCGTCCTTTTTCATGTAACCAAAGAATGAGCTCTTTCATATGTGTGCCGAGTTCAGTGAAAATATCTCATCCCGGTCACGAGTTATAGCCATTTTAGTAAAAGTGGCTTCACCCACTTTGAGCGTTTTGGTGCTCCTTAGTGACCGTGAATCGAAATTTCAACTTTTTGATAATTATTGACAATTGGACTCCAGAGAATGTTTCTGCACCGGTTTGGTTCCGATCGGGCTAAAAACCTAGGACTAGTTCACAAAAGTAGGTCTTTCAGAAATGCCAAAATACCCAAACATTTTGCCACGATCAAATCTGAGGCATATGTTTTGTCTGTCTTGAGCCAAGGATTCCAACAATATAAGACAACTGAGCCTGCACCTAATGGTTTAGGAGTTATGAGTGATTTCGTACTTTTCACCACTGTAGCGCCCCCGTCAGGCCGATTGTGGCAAGTCTTGGTGACATTAGGGGCTTTCGCTCTGCGTAGTTCTAGGAACTAGCCAGCAGGGTAGTTCCTAGAGAACCAAATTCTCCCTCGGGCCGTTTTCCTGGTTGCATTCGCACCGGCAGCAGGAACTCTGAAGCGGCCGACAGCGATGTCTTTTTATAACGGAGATGGAGATGTAAACGCACAATTTACGCAATTGCAAGAGCAAAAAGTTGGGCTAAGAGACACATTTTTTTATGACAACTTGCAGTGTTACATATCATC